GCATGGATAAGCAGAAGGGTGCGGGAGTAAAGGGGCGGGTGGATGGATGTGTTGGAGGAGTTAAAAGTGACTGGAAGTTCAACCTTGAAGAAGTCGACATGATCCACCTCAACACCACCTCACCTTGTGGCTTTGTCCCAAAAAAGCCCTTTGAGAAGAAGGTGGGCAGGCAGCCCACTTTCCAGTCCTCCTGTCTCTCTTAGACAGCAGCTATCTTTCTCTCAATAAATTTTTCTTACGCTTGGGGCCAGAGATTTAGCTCAGTGGTGCTGTGCCTGCCTTGCAAGTACAAGGTCCTGAGTTGGATCCCCAGTATCAAAAAAACGTTTAAATAAATAAACATAAAAATTTTCTTACTCTTAAAAAAAAAAGTGAATGGACGCGCGGACAGAGTAACAGACAAGTGGAAGGAAAGACAATTTCTGGGGGAAGGGCCCAGTGGCCCCAGGGCAGCTCACCATTGACCCGGAGGCCGAGCTGCAGTTCTGTGCTGCCCGCCACATTGGATGCCACGCAGCGGTAACTCCCAGCGTCCGAAAGCCGCACTCGCTCAATGTGGAGACCTCTGCCGTCAGCGGAAACCGTCACCCCTGTCCGGGCCGAGGCGGGCTGGCGGCCCTTGAACCAGGAGACATCTGGAGAAGGAAGCACAGAGGCAAGGGATCCTGTGGGGCCTCGGAGGCTGCTGGTGCAGGGCATCCGAGGGAAGCTCCCAGGGCGGCCACGCTTTTTCTCAGCCACTGGAGGACAGAGTTCTGCGGGAAACGAGCAGGGCCGGGCAAGGCAGCCGAACTCCAGGCAGGCCCGAGGTGGCCGATGGGAAGGCGGGAGCAGGGCTGCAAGTGGTGGTGACAGGAGGCCGGCCGCCCCCAGCAAGCCGCTTATCGCCCCTGCGCCCAGCACCCCACCCTTCCTCCAGAGGTGGTCAGGACGAGAGAGAGAGAGACAGAGAGAGAGAGACAGACAGACAGACAGAGACACGACTGGGATCCAGGGGACCTGTTTCTCACACCCAGCCCTGGGCGGCCCTGGGGAGCTGCAAAGTGAGCAGAGCCTCCGGGTTGGCTGCAGACCCCAGGGCAAAGCTCTGGGTCGGCTCAGTCCCATGACACTCGAGTGGATACGCGGGTCAACGGGTGGACACGTGGGTGAGTGGACGGGGGAGACAGCAGAGCCCGGACGAGGGGCTGTGCCAACCCGCGCGTCACCAGCACTCTGGGGGAGTCTAATGGGGCAGTGGAGAGGGCTTTCTCCAAGGGGAGGGGCTTACCGGGAGGAGGCACCCCGGAAGCCAGGCACTCCAAGGTCGCCGACGCGTTCTCCAGCACCGCCTGGTTGATGGGGCCTGGCTCGATGTTGGGGGGCACTAGGAGGAAACCAGGAGAGACCCCGCTTGGGGACAGTGGGCATCTCTCACCCCTGGCCAGTCCTCCCACGGCCAAGAGCAAGATCTGGGGCAAGGAAATGGCCAGGCAGGGACCGCCCACCCTGGCAAGGGTGCAAAGGGACCCAAAACATGAATCCAATGAGCTAAGGCAGCCATGAGTGAGAGAGGCGATCAGGAGCACGGGGTAGCTGCCGGGCCTCATTTCAGGCTGTGTTCTCTGCAGGTGGTCTCACGCTGGATTTTCAAACCTCCTCCACAACATGCACCGGGCCCCAAGGATCCTGCAGGGATTGGCTGCCGCCCCAGGCCTCCGGCCCTGCTCACTTCCTCACCCAAAACCTTGACCGCCACGTCCCTCTGGCTCTCCCCTGCCAGGCTGGTGGCAGCGCAGGTGTAGATGCCTTCGTCCCTCAGGTCCACCTTCTCTATCTGGGGGAGGAGGGGCCGGGGTGTGTGCGCAGGGATGCGTGTGTGGGGAGCCACAGAGCCCACGCTGGGGATGGTGACGGTGCGGGGGGACGGGGTGAGAGCCAGGTTCCCAGGGCTCGTCCGGTCCAGCACGACTCCCTCCCTGTGCTCTCCCTCCGGCAGCTGAAGCTCCTGGGAGGTGGAAGGGGCGAAGGGTCCCCTCCTCTCCCCGGGCCCAGCACCCCAGGGCCCACCGAGTGCCCCGGGCTTGGGGGGCTCTGTGCCTGTCCCACCCCCACTGCCAGTGCTCTGTAGAAGGCCTGCGGGACCCACGAAGAGTGGCTCCTCCCCTGTGCCCGGCTGCCCCACCAACCCTGGGGCTCCTAAATGTACCTGCAGGGTCCCCCCTGAGGTTGCCAGGGCCACCCCATCCTTCCACCAGCGGAGGCTCGGGGGAGGCACTCCGGCCCCTACACACTGGAGGGTCACAGGCTGCAGGAAAGGAGCCGTGATGTTCTCACCCCCGAGGATGGTGACCGACGGGAGCTCTGGGCAGGGGAGAGAGGGAGGCTCTGGGTCAGGATAAGGAGGGTGCAGGGGCACCCAGCGGGCCCCTTGATGTCTGCTGGTGGGGGTGGCCTTGCTGGGCTCCGCCAGGTCCTGGTCCCTCGCTTTCCCCCCACAAACGCCTGGCTTAGAGGAAGGGGCTCAGACTGGGAGCCCGCAGGGGAGCCTTCCCTTCAGAGTTCTCCCACCCACCCCTCCGACCATCCAGCAAGCCTCCCGTCTTCCTGCCTGCCTGCCTAGCCACTCACCTACCCACCATCATCCACCATCATCCACCCACCCACCCATCCGCGCGCCCACGAACTCTATCCGGTCTGTGCCCAGCACAGGTCTAGACACAGCGGAGAAGGTGCCTGTGTCCCTGTCTTTCAGAGCTCAGAGCAGGGAGCACAGCTGAAGGAGCACAGAAACAGCCCTAGTGGGGCCAGCGGCGGGCTGCGCCTTAGCCGGGGAGGGGAGGCCGGCGTATTTAAGGACGGCATGGCGTCCACTGTGGTCAGCAGGAAGAGTGGGTGGAGGGCTGAGGCTGGGAAGGGGAGCGGGCCGAGGGGCTGGCAGGGCAGAGGACAGGTGTGCTAAGTGGGTGAGAAGAGACCAGCCCCACACCACACCTCTGGGGAACCGGGACACCCAGCCTGGGGACACTGCCCTGAGGAGATGAGCCCCTGTCCCTCGCAGGCCTGCCGCTGCCCTCTGGCTCCACTTGCCTGGCATCTCCACTGCCCACCCCGCGTCCCGGACACGGCTCACCGTGCACGGACACCTCCACCTCAGCCCCCGTGGTGCCCGCGTCGTTGGTGGCCTGGCAGGCGAAGAGGCCCGCGTGGCCTGGTTCCACGTGGTCAATGTGCAGCGTGGTCCCCTGTGAGGTCACCTGTACCCCAGCCAGCTCCTCGGCAGGGCGGCCGTTCTGCAACCACCTAGGGTGGGCAGGGGCACAGGGTGACCTGAGGCCCAGAAGGGCTGCTCCAGGGGGACACGTGAGGAGGCTTCCTGTCCCTCCCGCCTGGCTGGCTCCCACTCCAGGGAACGGGGAGCAGCTCCCTTCCCACGCCACCCCACGGCTCCCGCTCTGCCCGCCCAGCCCCAGCCCTGTGCCCATACGCACCGGATGGTGGGCACTGGGGAGCCCGAGGCCTGGCAGGGGAGCTCCAGGGGCTGCCCCACGATGGTGGTCACCTGGCCCGAGCCCTCAGCTACCAGGAGCTGCGGGGGCACTGCAAGCAGGACGCACAGTTGGAGGCTGGAACTTAGCAAGTCTCCCCACACAGGGTGAAAGCCGGGCAAGGGACCCGTCTGTCTGCTGTCGCCCCCCACCAGGGTGAGGCCCAAGAGTCCTGTCTGCCGTGTCCCGTTTCCTGTCCACGCCCATGGGCTGGCACAGAGTGAAAGTGGCTGTGTCTGCTGAGGGCTGAACAGCTGGGGACGTGCTTGCTCTAGGAACATTCTGATTCTTTTTGGTGCTGGGATCAGGCTCAGAGCGCACATGCCAGACAAGTTCCCTGCACGGAGCCCCACAGCAGCCCTGAATCCCGGACACACGTCCATTCTGTGGGCAGAAGGCAGAGTGGGGTCCCCCACCTGGTGACCTGTCCTCAGGATACAGGTCAGAGCAAGGGCCTGGACCCCAGGACTCCAGCCCTCCTTGCAGCGTCTCGGTGCCCTGGTCATTTGAGACAGGGGCGCCTCGGACTGCTCTGCCCCCTCCACCCCAGCAGAGGACAAACTGCGGGGACAGCTGGGCGTGGCCGGCTTACCCTGCACATCCACATCATACTGCAGCATGGCCTCGCCTGCCGGGCTGCTGGCCACACAGCTGTACCGACCCCCGGATGCCTCCCCCGGGCTCTGCAGCCGTAGCGCGCCGTCCGGCTCCAGCCATGTCCCGTTGCTCCCAGCCACGGGCAGCCCCTCATGCTGCCAGGACACAGTGGGAGGTGGGAAGCCTCTGGCCACGCACTCCAGCGCCAAGGGCCTCCCGGCCACGGCCTGCACGGCATACGGCCCTCCACCGGTGCCCTCGATGGTGGGTGCGACTGGGGGGAGGCAGGGGTGCTCAGGACCCCAGTGGCCTCCCCCGATCGTCCCTGCCCTGCTCTGTCTGCAGGAAGCCCTGCTCTGATGCTCCTCTTGCCCCTAGTACCCCCGTGCTTTCTCTGTTCCCACTGCCACACCGAGCTCACCCCGAGCAGAAGGCCCACCTCTCTGCGTATCTCCAGGATCCTGCACAGCAGGTCTCTGGTGTGGCTTTGGGGGCCCCTGCCTCAGCCAGTGGTGGCCAAGGGGATGGGATCGGAGGGGGAGCTTTCCTTTCGCCCTTCATGGGGTACCCTGAGAGCCACGAGAGGCTACAAGGGTGGCACCACTGCTGCGGGACCCAGGGAAACCTCGGACTGGGAATCGAGGTGCTTTTCGACCCTGTTTGCGTCCTAAGGTGTTCTGCAGACTAAATGTGTGCACATGCACTCTCCCGGGGGTCCTCGATCCCCAAATAAGCTGGGCCCAGGCTCATAGGCTCCGGGGTCCCTTGCACCTCAGGCGTCACAGACCCAGGCTGACCCCTCATGAGGGACCAAGATGATCCCCATTAGCCCACAGGCCACCTCCGACTTCCTGGGGCCTGGTCACCCCGCCCAGGCCCAGCTTTCCCCCAGGCCCCTCGAATGTCCTGCGAGTCGTCACCAGCAGAGACTTGGATCAGTCCCTCTGGGCCAAGCGCCGTGACTCCCGGGTCCCCAGAGCCTTGCTGGCTCGTCCCTCCATGGGGACCGAGTCCCGTCAGTACTGAGTGACCAGCTTGTGTGGCAAAGTCCCCAAAGCCCAGCTCAGCTCAGCAACAAACCCCGAGCAGCTGAGGAGCCATCTTTGAGCTCAGATGACTTGGCGGTGCCATCACCCCAAGAGCCCCTGCCATGGGCTCAGTCTCTCCACCTGCATGAGGGGTGCCAGAGGGGCTGGGGTGACCTCTTTCTGTAGGGCCCTGGTCCCATTTCCCTGTCACCTGTGGCACTTCAGCGCCCCCCACCTACTGACCGCTGAGACGGGTGGGCCCCCTGGGTCCAGGGTCCCTCCCAGGGGACCCCTGCCCACTGCCGCCACCCCAGCTGCTCACCATAAACCACCAGCCTGGTGGCCTTCTCTGTGACACCCACAGGGTTGCTGGCTTTGCAGGTGTAGACGCCAGCGTCCAACACCTGGGCTTGCCCCAGCTGTAGCTGCCGGCCGCCCTTGGTGTAGACCACCTCAGCGCTGGCGGGGAGCGGGGCCCCGTCCTTGAACCAGGCGACGTCAGGGGTGGGGGCACCTCGGGCCTCACACAGGAGCCGCACTGGGTGTCCCTCCATGACAGCCACCTCACCGGTCTCGTTGGAGCCCCAGATGGTTGGGGGTGCTGAGGAGGACACAGCAGGTGGGGGTCACAGGTGCCCCTTGCAGGCGGCTGGTGTCCTCCCCCGGGGAAGCATGCACGTGCCCTTGGGCCACAAGCACAAGCCACAGGCTTCCACTGTGAGGACAGGAGGAGACACTTTTTTTTTTTTTTTTTTTTTTTTGGTACGGGGGATCAAACTCAGGACCTTGCACTTGCAAAGCAGGCGCGGCAGCACTGAGCTAAATCCCCAGCCAGCCCTGTGGGGACAGGAAGACACAGGATGGAGGAGCCAGGCCAGCTCGGGACATGCTGCTGTGGGAAGCCAGTCTGGTCAGCACCCGTCTGCCTCTAACTCACTGTATGACCCGGGGTAGGTCCTGCCACTTCTCTGGGCCTCAGTCTCCCCATCTGTGGAACGAGGGCCGGACTGGATCAAGGTTCCCCCAGGGCAGATCACCCACCACCGACACCCAGGATGACTGCGGAGGGCCTGTGGGCACGGCGTGAGATGACGCTGTACCCCAGAACTCTCCGTCTTGACCACAAGTAAAGACTGGGGGCCCGCTGTGTCCCTAACCCTTCCGGCTCCTCAGTCAGCGCAGGGAGCAGACGCAGGGCGGTGCCGCTGCCGGTGCCACGCCGTGAGGACTGGCACTCTGCCTCTCTGGTCCTATTTGCTGTCCAGGCGTGGCGCATGCCGCCGGCTTCCCACTCAGTCCTGACCAGAGATAGCCTTGCGGCGTAAAGGAATCTGGGGCGCCTTGGGCCTGGGCCACACGGCCTCTGGCCCCCACCTGGCTTTCTCAGACAGGGGACTTGCCCCCGAGGGCCCCCGGCCTGTCCTTCTCGGCCCCTCCCAGGCAGCGGCAGCAGACAGGAAGCGTCACGAGCAGCTGGTGGCCCGGAAGGGGTCGGGTCTCACAGTGGATTTGGAGCCGGAAGTCCTTGGCCTGCTGGCCGGCTGGGCTGAAGGCCATGCACTGGTACCGCCCCTCGTCCCCCAGGTGACTGCTGGTGATTTTGAGGACCTGGCCGTTCTCCCGGAGCTGGGCGTGAGGGTCTCCCGGAAGGACAGGCCTGGAGAGACGTCAAGCGGAAACAGTCAGTCAGGCAGAGCGAAGGAGGGACAGCCAGCTCCGAGGGGACCGCAGCGGCCACTCCTCTGTCACCAGACCTCCATCCACAAAGAATGACTTAGCCATGAAAAGGTCTGAAGTTCTGAGCCCTGCCGTGACGCGGGTGAACCTCCAAAGCACTCCGCCCAGGGAAGGCAGCCACACGAAAGGCCACCTGGTGTCTGACTCTGTAGGAAAGGCCCACAGGAGGCAGACGTGTGCACACAGGAAGTGGACTGGTTGTGGTCTGGGGTCGGGGACCACGGGCTGAGAAGGGCTACCTAATGGGCCTGCAGTTTCCTTTTGGGGTGATGAAAGGTTCTGGTGGCACAGCGCAGCAAATGCACAAAACGCTCCCAAGTTAGTGCTTCAATCGGACAGTTGTGCTGTGTGGATTTTACCTAATAATTTAGTTGTGGGTTTTGTGGAAGGATGCTGCGCAGTGGGAGGACCCTGCTCACGCTGACAGGTGCCCTCAGAGTTCAGCCTCCCTCGGGACCCCGTGCAGGTGGCCCCAGCCTGAGCATCAGCCCTGTGTGTCCATCAGGGAGGCCACTCACTGCCCGTCCTTGGTCCACTCCACTTGGGGCAGGGGGATCCCCGAGGTCCGACACTCCAGCTCCACGTCGGCACCAGCCAGGCCCAGCACCTCCTGGACGGCCCCAGCTCCCGGCATGGAAGGAGGGACTGCAGGGCGAGAAGCAGGGAGCCTCTGATACTGCGAGCCCTGCTGGCCACAGAGCCTTTGCCTGTGCGGTCCCCATGGGCGTCGCCCCCTCGGGAAGCTCCTGAACCCTGGCTGCACGGGGCCTGCCCCGCGGCTCTCGGGAGCTTGCCCTGCCCCGCCTGTGTAGCATTGGGCTGACCGTGTGCCTGTCCCCTGTGTCCCCTGCCCCGGCCTCCGGGAGGACAGGGACGGGTCTGCCATGGCCCCACTGTGCAGCAAAACAAGCGCAGGCCCAGGGCGCACTCACCCAGCACCAGGAGGTCAAAGTCCCTCTGGGCGCTCCCCGCCCGGTTCTCTGCCCGGCAGGAGTAGAGGCCGGCATCACCCTCCTCGATCCTGGGGAAGTGGAGTGTCCGCGCCCGGTTCAGGAGGCGGTGGTTGCCGGCCTCAGGGACCTGGACAGGGGAGGGAGCCGGTGACCATCTAGCAACAAGGGGACTGGAACCAAGGGCTCAGACTCCCAGCGTGGAGCCGGCCTCTCCACCAGGAGGACCCGAGACTCACCCCAGGACCACAGCTGCCACCACCGCCCTTCCCGTACGAGCCTTGGACCCCAGCCCCAGCCCCGGTCACACCTCAGCTGCACCCTGGCCCATCCCCAGCCAACACCCCCAGAGGACGCCTACCGGCTGCCCGTCCTTGAGCCATGCGATCTCAGGGACTGGAAAGCCGTTTGCGTCACACTCCAGAGAAAGCGGCTGCCCGACCACACTGGACACGTTGCCCTTGCGCCCATCCTCCCGGATGCTGGGCGGCACTGAGGAGCAAGGAGAAGCACACAGCTGCCCCAAGGCCCTTTCGGCCCAGACAGGAGGCACCGACTCCCCACCCTGCCCACCACCCACTGTCACCAGTGTCCCAGGAGATCTGCCTGTCCCTGAGTGGCCACGGCAGCCCCGCCCAGGGACAGCCGCAGCCCTGGAGGTGCCCGGCAGGTGCCATACTCCGCTGCTCAGCTCAGCTGGTTCTGCCCCCAGCCTGGCGCACAACCACCTAGCGGGGTTCTGCTGTGAGTCTCCTCTCTGCTGCACACTTTGTAGGGTGCTAACAGGAAGCTGGGCTCAGGGAGCGACGGTTAGGGCTGCCCAGAGGCTGCTGCTGCTCATCCGCCAGCAGGGGGAGCCCCAGCCCACCCCACAGAACCCTCCTGTACATCATTCCTGCAGTAGTAGGGATCGAACCCAAGGTCTTTCCACTCAGCTACATCCCCCGACCTTTATTTTTTATTTTGAGACAGAGTCTTGCTAAGTCATTAAGTGTGATCCTCCTGCCTCGGCCTCCCTGAACACTGTCATTGTTCCCTTGGTTTTAAGCCAGAGGGTAGGCTCCAGGCCTCATCGCTACTGTGATGCTTTTCACCCAGATGTAACTGCAGGGCAGGGTCGACTGCTGCTTAGCATTCTGGCTGCTCCCCCACTGCCTGCGCAGGTCTCTGGGAATCAACAGCATCACACTTGGCCCTCCTCTGGCACCTGGACATGGGACCCTGCGAGCCCCCTGCAGCAGCTCCTGGGCCCCGGAACGTGGTGCTACCATCAGCCCCTGCGTCACACGGGCCTCTGCCAGTGGCCTCCATGGGAGGCGGGCACCAGTCTGCCCCTGGCTCTGGGGCCCCCGCTTACCGTAGACCACCAGCTTGGACCTCCGGGACGCAGCGCCCGCCTCGTTGGCTGCCTGGCACTCGTAGTCTCCACCGTCCGCAGGTGAGACTGACATCAGGAGCAGGGACCCATCGTCCAGCACCGCCATGCCAGGCCGGGTGCCCAGGGGCTCTGAGGCCGGGCCCTTGCGCCATGTGACCCGCGGCCTGGGCGTCCCTGGCAGGGCACAGC